CTGAAATTTCTCCGTGTAGGAAAGCGTTTTTCACATCAAATTGTAGAAGAGGCCAATCTTGGTTTGCAGCTAGCGACAAAAGTATTCTCACAGTATTGAGTTTGGCTACTGGTGCGAACGTCTCTTGGTAATCTACACCATAAGACTGAGTGTAACCTTTAGCCACAAGTCGTGCTTTATACCTCTCAACAGTTCCATCAGCTTTATGCTTAATTGTAAAGACCCATCTGCAGCCCACAGTTTTCTTCCCTTTTGGTAAGGACACAAGATCCCAAGTGTTGTTTTTTTCTAAAGCTGCCATCTCCTCAACCATTGCTTCGGTCCATCTAGGATCTGCCAAAGCTTCTTGTACATTACTAGGAATAGAAATTGAAGATAATTGAGATACAAATGATGCATATGACTGAGATAACCTGTGAGATGACACATATTTACTAATGGGATATTTAACTTTGGCTTGGAGGTCTGGTTCATATTTAACTGGAGGTTGACCACGGTTAGAACGAGGTGGAAGAATATATTGAACAGTAGTAGACTCAGTGTTTGGTGTGCTGGTGGTCTCACGCAGACAAGAATCAATTTCATGATCAATTTCATTAGTATTATCAGAGATAGTATCAGAAGGTACCTCTGAAGAGTCAAGTTGAACCTGTGGAGAAGATTGAGCCAATTGGTTATGATCAGAAGACACTGTATTATCCAGAAAAGAAGGGTCCATATTTAGGATTGGCTCACTTCCTGCAGAATGATCCTCACACAATAATTTATCTTCACAATCAAACATACCAACATCACGATTATGCACTTCACTTTCATTGCCTCCCTGAAGTGGAGAATCAACATAAAAAAATTCATGCTCATTAAATGTCACATCCATAGAAATATAAAATTTCCTTGATGGTGGATGGTAAGCACGATAACCTTTTTGAGTTGATCCATACCCAACAAAAACACATTTGATCGCTCGTTCTTCAAGCTTTGTACGTTGATGTGGGTGTAAGTGAACATATATAACACATCCAAAAATATGAGGTGGTAAATAAACTATGGGAGGAAGGATACAATGATCAGACAACACATCAAAAGGCCTTCGAAAGTTAAGCACACTAGAAGGAGTTCGATTAATTAAATAAACGGCAGAGCTCACAGCTTCACCCCATAAATGAGATGGGACATTACCATCTATCAAAAGTGATCTTGTCACCTCTAATATATGTCTATTTTTCCTCTCAGCCACTCCATTTTGTTGTGGTGAATAAGGACATGTAGTTTGATGCAAGATGCCTTTAGAGTTCATGAACTCTATTAATTCAGTCTTAAAATATTCTCCTCCATTGTCTGATCGAATGACCTTAATAGATGTGTTAAATTGTGTAACAATCAAATGATAGAAGGAACGAACCACATCACACACATCACTTTTATATTTAAGCAAATATACCCAGGTTACCCGAGTACAATCATCAACAAAACTGATAAACCATTTTTTTCCATTATGTGTAGATTGCGGGGCAGGGCCCCAAACATCTGTGTGAATTAATGAAAAAGGAAAATTAGTTTTGTTATTGCTTAAAGGAAACACAACACGATGATTTTTTGCCAAAACACAAGTTTCACAAAAAAAATCAGAAATATTGCATTTATGAAATAGTGATGGAAATAGTTTTTTTAAATAACCAAAAGAGGGATGTCCCAACCGTCTATGCCACAACCAAATTTCTTTTTTGTTTTTATCTTGTATGTGATCGTTCGCAAGACAAGTCAATCCTTTATTATGGTTTGATTGTGAGACATTTTCAAGATAATACAGTCCTTCACTCTCTCTACCACTAGCAATCTTCTCCTTGGAATGGATGTTCTGAAAAAGACAATGGGTTGGGTAAAATAAGGCAACACAAGAATGTGATTTGGTTAACTTGCTGACGGAGATAAGATTACAGTTTAATGTAGGAACAAATAAAACATCAGGAATCGATAAAGAGGGTGAGAGGGATATAGTACCTATACCTTCAATAGGAGATGAGACCCCATTGGCATTAATAATAACAGTTTTAGAACAATTAGAGGAAAAATTAGTAAATATATGAGGATCACAAGTCATATGATCAGTAGCACCCGAATCAATTATCCAATTACTATCCTTAGTAAGGACAGAAAGATTAAGGGCAGAGTTAGATACACCTGACTTGGTCACAAATCCGACAGCAGTAGAAATATAACTCTTGGAAGCAGCGGAAGTTCCAGAATCATGTTTCTCCGATTGATTGTCATCGGAAGAAGCCATCAGAAATATTCAATGAAAAAAGGACACTGATTCCTATATCTTAGAGGATATCAGTGTTGGCTCTGATAGCACTGTTGGGGGAGGTTCGACACACACATAGAACTCCACACATGATAAGATATTGTCCGCTTTGGGCCAAGCCCTCACGGGTTTGCTTTTTGGTACCACTCCAAAAGGCCTCTTATCATTGGAGATTTCTATGTGTATATAAACCCTTGACCAGTCCTTATTTCACTCAATGTGGGACTTTGTTTGCACTTCAACAACAGACACCAATTCCTGAACAACGCAAAAGTAAAAATGTTGTGAGAAATGTTTCTCCTTCATATTATTCTGCAATATTTTAAACAACTTGTGCTTTAAATAATTTTTATCTATCAGTTTTAAATTCAGAACTGTTCTTGTTTAAAAAAAATTCAAATCAGGGAGGAAGAATGGCCACTTTGAAATTCGTGTGGAATTAATGATTGGTAATTAATAAATTGGTGTGGGCTTTGCACTGGTAGTAGTATCAGTTTACGGTGCAGAGATTTCACCTCCTTCCACAGGCTTTTTTACCTCTCTCCCACAAGTTTCCCTCAACATAGGACTCTTGCTTGGCTACATGGCAAATTATTTCTTTGAAAAATTGTCATTGAGACTTGGATGGAGAGTGATGGTGGCCGTTCCTTCAATCCCTTCACTTATTCTTGTCATTCTCATGTTAAAATTGGTAGAGTCTCCTAGGTTTTTAGTCATGCAAGGATGTGTAGGTGAGGCCAGGAAAGTGCTTTTACTAGTTTCTAATACAAAGGAGGAAGCTGAGCACAGGTTGAGGGAAATAAAAGGTGTTGTTGGAATTGATGAAAACTGCACCCAAGACATTGTGGAGGCTCCAAAGAAAACTCTTAGCGGTGAAGGAGCTCTAGAAGAATTGAAATGTAATCTATACATTTAAATATATTAAAATGAGTTAAAACGTAGTGATACAGTTAGTTTGAATTGAAAAAAATAAATACAATAATTGAACAAGACCAAAAGTTGCAATTAATTTGGTTGAAATTCATCAATTTTAAATTACTTTGAGTTGCTGTGATTATCAAGTCAAGTCATCCAAGATAACCAGGAACACCAGAAGAGATTAATATGACAATATCTCTCAGATTCAGAAACTAAAACATGGTTTACTCTTTATCAAATCCTAAAAGCATTAAAAACTTATATATATATATAAATTTGTTTAACCACAAATAACAAAGTTCATGGTTGTAAGGAGATGGGTTATTGTTTTGCAACAGTGCACCAGCTCCTCCTTCAAGTGGTGACTTGAAGGTGCTAGAAGCACCCCCTCAACTGCTACACAAGGTCTCTGGTTCACCGCCATGAAGAATTTCTGGACAAGCTTATATATATATAGTTTGGTTCTTCTATATGTAGTACTATCTCTTTTCTTAACCTTTTTCTTGCTTGGGATCACCAGAAATAAGTCTAGACTCCTGTGTCTTTAGCTATATATGTACAATAAACTTTGATCTTTCTTTGTTGTGTGTAATAATAATGCCTCTGTTAATTAACTACTAGTGCTGTCTGTAAATATTGAAAATCGCTGGGCTTGAAACAGAATAAAAACTATATTTTAGTACAAGAATATTATTTCTGAGTTATAACTAAACTTGCCTTCAAGAATTTTATGAGTAGTACTAATTTACTGTTGGATTCCTTACGAAGTTAATGGTACGGAAAGATTTTGTTTCCATGTTTGGGATATAAAACATGTTCCATGATAGGTACGCTTCAATCAGCAAGACAAATAGTTAATTTGTTGTTTGTCTTTATTTACTATTGTATAGTATGCCGAATGATCCGATAATCTTCGACAACAAATATGACATAGTAACCAAACGGTTTTCTGCATATAAACAAGACCGATCAGTATATTTGTTAAATTATAAGTTAAACAGGTAAAAAACGGCTTATGGCCATATGTAGTGTTGGGTTGCAATTGGACCAACACATATATTAGTAGTATTGGGTAGATATGAACTTAAAGTCCATTATAAACTCTATAAATAGAAAGGTAAGCTATAGAGGTAAGGTTAACTTAATTGAGTTTTGATACTTAATTGTGAATTAAGTTCCTTGAGTAAAATCTGACTTAAGCGTTGTAGTACCTTTAGCAAGTACTCACCTCTCGGTTTGGACATGAAGAAGAAAGATCCTGTGGTTCAGAAAAAAGAAAGAAGAGAAGGTGATAGCAAAAAGGTGTGTTTCTTGGCTCTACTCACTTATACATTGAAACATTTTGGCACCTACTGTGGGACTCCTGAATAGGAGAAAAAACCTAATGGTGACCACAAGAAACATGAAAGAGTAGCAAAGCACAAGGGAATTGATCAAAGATATGCAAGCACAACTACAAGCACAGTTGTTGGAGATGCAAAGGAAGCACAAGGTGGAGATTGCCGCACTACGGGCAGAGCATGCTGCTGCACGTCAAGAGCATGCTGCTGCACGTCAAGAGCAGTCTACTCAACACACGACATCCGTAGCTCCAACGGCCTCGAGAGATGTCGAGCGTGGGGAGGGACCAAGTGTGGCCAGTCACGGAGTGAGTCGTACTCATCTGGCATCCAACCTCGCCAACCCAGACAATCAGGAAGGAAGGGAAGCAAACAATGCGACCATACCTTCACCAATACCTCTACAAACCGTATGATCAACTAGTTTGTTGCCCTTCATGGCGACTATTATGGAAGCACCCATGCTGGAGAAACCTCCTCCCGCATTGGACAAGTATGACGACTCCACATATCCGGATGATCATCTCAGAACGTTTGTTAATGCGATGGCGTTATACTCGTCTAGTGATCCTGTTATGTGTAGGGCATTTTCATTGTCACTTAAGGGGGAGGCATTAGCTTGGTATAATACTCTCCCCCCAAATATAGTGGACTGCTTTGCCACTGTTGAGACTCTTTATGGAAGACAATATGCTTCTAGTCAGGTACAAGAATTAACGCATGTAGCATTGGTTAGTATTAGGCAGGAGAAGGAAGAAACATTGAAAGCTTTTATGAAGAGATATAATGAGACAACACGACGGGTGAAGGATGTCAATCAAACCTTGATCATCAACAACTTGTCTTCATGTTTAAAAGTCGGGCCATTCGTAGATAGTTGTGCTAGACCACCTAAAATCGTAGATGAACTCCAAGAGAGAGCTGCGAAATTTATCCGTATTGAAGATATACGAATTTCTCGGAAGAGGGATGGTAGGCGACCATTTGGTAGCAACGACAAAGGCGGGGGTTCTTGTCCTAAGGACTTGCCTCGAATACCCAGGTTTAATCATTATACCGCTCTCAATTCCCCTAGGGAAAAAATTTTGCAAGAGGCCCTCAATTCTGAGCTCATTCCCTCTGTCAAGAAGAAGCCTACACCTAGAAATGGCGAATGTGGTCATGGTTAAAAAATCGAACAACCAATGGCGAATGTGTACCAATTTCACTGATCTGAATAAGGCATGTCCCAAGGATGCTTGTCCCTTTCCCAGTGTCGACAGGTTAGTGGATGGTACCTAAGAGCATGAGGTGTTAAGTTTCTAGATGCTTACTCTGGGTATTATCAAATCCCCATGTTCGCGATGAATCAAGAGAAGATGACTTTCATTACCGAACAAGCTAACTTCTGTTATGAAGTAATGCCTTTCAGTCTTAAGAACACATGAGCTACTTACCAACGTCTAATGGACAAAGTATTCCGTTAGCAGATCAGAAGATGTATGGATGTATATGTTGATGATATGGTGGTCAGGAACCGGTCTATGGAAGTGCAGTTCAAAGATCTGGACGACGCTTTCCTGCAGGTACGAAGATATGGTATGAGCTTAAACCCCTCTAAATGCACTTTTGCTATGCCAGTAGGAAAATTTCTTGGATTTATGTTGACTTCTCGAGGAATTGAGGCCAACCCAAAAAAATGTCGTGCAGTCTTGGAAATGAGGAGTCCGACAAACTTAAGGGAAGTGCAACGCTTAGTTGGCAGGTTAACATCACTGTCATGTTTTATTCCAATACTGGTCGAGCATGTTAAACCTATTCTCAAGGTTATGAAGAAAGGTATCACCCAGTAGTGGGATGAGCAGTGTGAGAAGGCTTTTGGAAAAGTTAAAGACATCTTGGCTAATATGCCTGTAATGGCACGACCGGTACAAGGACATGATTTGCAGTGTTCATAGCTGTCTCAGATAACACGATCAGTGCGACACTCATTCAAGAGTCTCCCGATTTTAAGCTGGTTTATTTCATAAGCAAAATATTGCACGGAGCAGAGGAGCGATACTCTCAAGTAGAGAAAGCAGCGTTAGCACTACTTACAGTTGCTTGTCGACTTTGACCATATTTTCAGAGGCATCAAGTGGTCTTTAGAACGGATCACTCGGTGGCCAAGGTTTTGAAGAAACCTGACTTAGCTTGGAGAATGATTTCTTGGTCTGTTGAGCTTTCAAAATTTGGTCAAGTGTTTTGGAAAGGAACATCTAGGTCGAGTACGAGGTGTGGGAGATGGAGTTTGTCCATCCCAAATTTTTGGATCATCCAACCCAAGATTTGGTGGCTTTCCTACTTCTACTAATTGTGTTCAAGAACTTAAAATTGAAGTTCAAGAGTTGAAAAGTCAAATAGAGACAAATAATGGAAACATAAAAACAATGGCTACACTACTTGTTCAACTCCTACAAAATTCATTAATGTCAGTACCTACTGAACTTCTTGATGTTTATAGTAAGTTTTTCTTATCATATCCCATCATTAGCTATAAAACTTCAATATATTTGTAGAAATAATTAGTTATTCTTTTAGTTTTATTATTGTAGCAACAACAAAGTTCTACTGACCATCATTCCTCATCAAATGGTAACACTGGTCAGCCTTAGAAATACTTTGAAGTTCGTATTGTACTTAGTATTGTACTTTTGATGTTTTGACTGGACTATGGTTTAGACCTTATGTTCTTTTAAAATGTTTTAGATCTTATGCTTGGTAGTAAAACTCATGGTAAAATGTTCATTAATGATGATGATATAGTGGCTAAGTTGTCATAATTTTGATAACAGTTTATATTCCCAATGTAGTGCAAGCTTTTGCAACTCATTTTGATAAAGGGGTAAATGAAAAATGCTTTTAGTATGAATACCTTATTTGTGGTTCTTAGAAGAGTTGAGGCATTCTTTGAAGCCTTGGAAGACAAGGAGTTAAGGATTTTACAGTAGAGTTGTTGAACTTAGATGATCCAAAAAAACATAACAACTTGAATGAAGAAACAGGTTGTGGCCCATTGATTGCAAAACTTTATTACCAAAGCTGGTACCCTGCAAGTTAATTGTCATCATTAATGCTGAACTTTTTTCAGACCTTATATTTGCTTAAAGATCCATCCTCCAGCATAGATGCTTGATTAATTTGTTAGTACGATTAAATGAATGAAGATTAGAGAAGTTCATTTTTTTCCATAAAAGAAACGTAAGAAATTGTGATATTTCTTTTTTTTTTCATTTACGTGAAAAAACCACTTAAGAAATTGTTCACCGTCTGAATTTAATTATTAAAACACAGAATGTTATTGCGAAGATTGAAATGTTCATCCCGCAGGAGCAGGGTTTGATTTTTGTGTGAAAAGAATTAAAAAGGGAAATTGCATTTGACAACAATAATGTGAAATCTTCGGAATTTTTGTGACCTGTGCTTCCTTTTTTTGAATATGCAGTAGCATATGGTTAATGTTATTTTCCTCTCTTGCATTCAGAATTAGCTTATACCTACGAAATCACTTAAAATTTATTTTCCAATAACAATGGAAAAAGCTTAAATCGCAGGTGTGTATAACATTGTGAGCTGAATTCTGCCAGGCAACGACAGATTTTGATGAGTAGATTTTAGATTTTTCCAATTTTATTTTTTTAAAAGTCATGATTTTACCGGCCGTTACAACTGCCATTAAATTTTTTAAATTCCCGAACTTATTGACGGTTACAACTGTTGTTAAGTTTCAAATATAAGATTTTTCAAAATTAATAGACTATTAAAACTGACTTAAATAATTTTAGTGGCGATTATTCCGCTATTATAATAAATCGATGCTATAATGTTTTTATGGTGCCAAATTCTAGGTGTTAATTATCTGATTGAAAAGAAAACAGTGACTGTTTTAACCGACATTACATAATGTATTAAATCGTCACTAAAATTCAAAATTTTAATAGTGAAGTTTTTTAATATAAACATTGGAGAGATTTAGTATTAATAAAAAGTTAACAAGTTTAGATTTAGTATTAATAAAAAATCAATGAACAAATATATTTAACATACTTTTATACTTATTTGACATATTATTTTTCATTCTTTCATTACATAACTCATGTTAAAAAAATGTAAGTGTATCATCTTATTATTATCCAAATTTTAAAGTAATAAATTTATAAATATTTGTATTTATATATTGTTTATCTTACTTTTTATTTCCAATGAGACTTTGAATTCACCTTGAGTTGTTATCGTATATCCGTGGATGTCTCACAACTTTTAAGAAGAATGCAGCTAGGTATCATAGTGAAAGAAACGTTTGATAGAAATGTCATCAAGTGATTGCTATTCTAGGGTTAAGATGATGACGAGACAAAAGGTATAAGCCAATAGTTCAATATAGCTTCATCCACACTGGACCTCAGCTTTGCTTCAATTTTTCCCAATTGCGTGGCATCTGATTGGACCACGATCATTGTTGCTCTTTCTGTCCCAATTATTATATGTATAGTTTCTTAATCTGATAAGGTATAATTGTTCTTTTGTAGATCATGGATGACACTGGAGCCCTTTCCCATGTACCTACATTTTCTTTTTCCCTCTCAAGACAAGAAAATGACCCTCCTTCACGCTTAACATAGTGCATTTGGATCTGTGTTCATACAAACACCATATCAGATAAATTCTGCATGAATGTAAGCCTTTCTGTAATTCTGTATGTTTACGGCAAAACTTTCCTAATTTTCAATTTTTGCCATTCGTATGTTTTGAGGACTCCAAGGTCTGTATACTAAGATCTATGTGTTAGGTCTTATATAATAGGAGAATCCAAATGCAATGATAAAGGCAAGTTGGAAAGAAACTGAAGAAATCTATACATGGTTTCTTTATATATTATAGGTTATGATCTTCTTATTTTGGTATTAGTTAATGTTGGATTTCGTCTGTCCAATATCATCTAATTATTAAAATCTGAGTTAAATTGACAGGCATTTCATTGATTTAGATTTGAACGAGATTAGTTGATATATTGATAATCAAGGCAAAAATTCCAGTACATTAATTGATTGCATTAATAAAGAATCCTAAGGCCGAATGAATTTATTTATAGTTAAGGAATTAATGTAGAGTAAACTTATTTGAGAATTCTGTATTTGAGGAATCAAAAGAAAACGATAGATCGGTATTGCATTTGTTTAATTACTTATTTCGTTCCTATTTTTTCTTTGAGTAACTACGGTGAGTTGTCAGTGTTTGCATATGGATAAAAAAAGCTACACCTACTTGAGCCTTTGATATAACAAAGTACTCTTTGAACAACTATTTGATGTTGATATGTGGGACATATAAGAATTGATTAAGTTGATTCACCACAAGATGAAAGTAAGTTCCTATCAATTTTCTATAGGAGTGGATGTTTGAGAGTGGTTCGCCAATAGTAGCTCCCAACTTAATTGAGATATCCATGGGTGTTGTTACTGTTTTAATAAAAGTTCCAAGGCATATTTGCATTGGTTAACCACTATGCTTTTGGACGATCATGTAATGAAGAGATTGTTTAACCTTATTGATTTCAGAAATGTCATTTTCTGCTAACAAGACATCATCAACATATAATAGTAAAGTTGTGAAGGATTTCTCTGTTTTCTGGGTATACAAGGTGTGATCAGCTTGACTTTAAGAATAACAAAAAATTTACAAATCACAAGAGATAGTATTAAACCACCGTCGATTAGCTTGCTTCAACCCATAGAGAGATTTCTTTAATAAACAAACCTAGTTGGGCTTGGAAGTTGAAAGACCTTGCAATAAAGCCATATAGATTTCTTCTTCGAGATTTGCATGCAAGAAGGCATTATCTACATCTAATTGGTGTAAAAACCAATTTTTGGAGGAGGCCAAAGCCCACACAACTCTTATAATGATCATTTTTGCCACGGGAGAAAGGTATCTGTGAAGTCAATACCTTTTATTTTAGTGTAACCCTTCACAACCAACCTTGCTTTGTATCGTTCTACTATCCCATCCTGTTTGTGCTTGACTTTATAGACCCATTGCCAACCAATAAGTTTTTTGTCAAGTGGTTTATCAACCAGGACCTAAGTATTATTTTTTGCTAACACCTCTAGTTTTTGATCCATGGCTATCCTCCAACATTCATGTTTGACAG